ATTTTTCACGCGACCTTCGGGACCGGCTTCAAGCAGGAATAAAATGAGAAAATAAAATAATAACTAAGAAATTAAAGAGAACATAGTAATTTAACGTGAAAAACCACGACCGTTGTCAAACGACAAATCAAAGAAAAATATTCCACTATGCGGCAAATTGTTACAAACCCAATTACAAAAATATTTTCTACCCGAACCTCAAAAAGGGACTCCAAGAGACTTGCTCTAAATCCCTAATATAAAACACATTCAAGTATTTTTGGTGTGTTTTGGTGTGTTTAGAAAGCTAAACATTAGCTTCATTTTATAACCAATTCAAACACCTTCATAAGCTCATCTCCCCAATGTGGGATTGAGCTAAACTTTTTTTTTTATTTGTTTTCAACAAAGGCGGCTAACAGATATCGGGTTGTATTCCTGTGCTTGTTGATTTGCAAAAACGAAAGGTCCCTGTTGGTGCAATATGCCCTTTATGTGGTTACTATTATTATTAATTTGAATTCAATGTTTAGTAAGTTGTATTGTAATTTGTGAGTGGTTATGTCTTTTGAATTTCCTTAAAGTCATTTACTAAGTGTCCTTAGATGTATGTGTCCTTTGGGTTTCCAAACTAGGTGTCCTTTGGGTTTCCAAACTAGGTGTCTTTTGGAGTTTCCAAACTAGGTGTCTTTTCCAAACTATGTATTTGCATGGCTATAAAAGCCTATAGTGTTAACAATTGAATTATATCAAAAACAAAAATTTGTGTTAACAAATCCTCTCCTCCTCTTCTTTCTATCAAAGTGGTATCAGAGCCATATTTCCTTGGCTTAAAAAAAATAAAAATAAAAGAAGAAAGTAAAAGAGAGTTTTTAAGAGATGGCAAACAATGGAGCTACACCCTTCACATTCCCTCGTCTTACAAAAGAAAACTATATGAAATGGTGTCTTCGAATGAAAGCATTACTAGGCTCTCAAGATGTATGGGAGATGGTAGAGAAAGGCTTTGAGAAGCCTGAAAATGAAGAGAGTTTATTGCCAAACTCAAGAAGAAGGATCAACAAGCCCTCATTCTCATCCATCAATGTTTGGATGATATGACGTTCGAAAAGGTAGCGGATGCTCCAACGGTGAAGGAAGCTTGGGAGATTTTAGAGAAATCTTTCCAAGGTGTTGATAAAGTGAAGAAGGTGAGACTTCAATCACTAAGAGGTGATTTTGAAGCATTGAAGATGAAGGAATCTGAATCAATATCAGATTATTGTTCAAGGTGAAGGAAATAACAAACCAGTTAAAAAGATATGGAGAGAAGTTGGAAGACGTCCGTGTGGTAGAGAAAATCCTTCGTTCTTTAATTTCTAAATTTGATTATGTTACTTGTGTCATAGAAGAGTCAAAAGATTTAGACTCTATGACTATTGAAGAATTGGAAGGATCTTTACAAGCTCATGAAGAGAAGATTTCAAGGAGACAAGAAGACACTTTGGAACAAGCTCTTAAAGCCAAAGTAACTTTAAAGAGCAATGAAGTAGAAAAAATTCAAGCAAGAGGACGTGGAAGAGGAAGAGGTTGCGGACGAGGCCGTAGCCAAAATGAAAGAGGAAGAGCTAACGACAATAATTATGAGGAGAGAAATCAGTCATTCATTTCTCCCCGTCAAATTTCCTCAATCTCACATCTCATAGCCGACATGCTTACTTCGTGCTTAATAACAGTGAACCCATAATTTAGTGAAGTAAACCGATTCGGCATACCCGCAGGAAAGATCACAATGATCTCTAGACAATATTACATTCCACGTAAAAATCTCAGTTGGACGGAGGGGTCACAAGTGGTCCCAACTTAAATCCCGGCCCTTCTTAGCAGAAGTTACGTGCACGATAATACTTATTCAGAATAGAATAAACTTCATAATTAATCGTCAAGGGACATTCACACCGATACTCAGCACCAAAGCAAAGCTCCCACCCCGCTATCAAGACTCCCCCAAAACTCCAACCTGCTTTTAAAATAAATATATTTCTAACAACAAGTTTTCTTGATGTGGAAGATCAGACTAAGCCCGCAACCACAGAGAAATACTTATAAATTACAAGAAATTATTTTAAACACTAAAAGCTCCCGCCTAACTAACTAGGGCTCTTTGATACCACTTGTTGGGAAAATCGCTATTTTTCCGCCCTCGGACCGGCTTTCAAGCAGGAAAAATTAGAAAATAAAATAATAACTGAAGAACATTAAAGAGAACACGATTAATTTAACGTGGAAAACTCCCCAAGTAGAGAAACACGGCCTGTTGTCAAACGACAATCAAGAAAATATTCGCTATGGCGGCAAATTATTACAAACCAACAATTAACATAAATATTTTTATACCCGAAACCCTCAAAACACCCCAAATATTTTATACTCCAAGGGATTCCAAAAGACTCCTAATATAAAACACGTTCAGGTGTTTGGTGTGTTGGAAAGCTACATTAGCTTCATTTTATAACCAAACCACCTACCCTCAAATTTTATAACCAAACCACCTACCCTCAAATCTCAATCTCCCCGATGTGGGATTGAGCAAAAGTTAATTTTATATTATTTTTTTTTTCTTTTATTTTCAACATTCAACAAAGGAGGCTAACATATACAATAGCCGTCCTATTGCTCTTATAGCTAAAGGAACCCCAGCACATTTGGCTACAATCTCCCTTCCAACTAACTCATGTTCTTGGGTTTCCACTTTCCCTTGTTTGAAGGCCATTTGTTTGAACAAAGACCAAGATTCCTCCTCACTTAGACTTCGTAATTCATAAGTTAAATTTGATCTAATTCTGTATGCAACAGTTCGAAGACGTGTGGTCACTATTGTTCTACTTCCACTTGCACCTCCAATTAACAAATCCCTCAAGCGAAACCATTTTTCATAGTTCTCATTCCATACGTCATCCAACACTAGCAAATATTTTTTGCCGTTTAATTTTTCATGGTGAAGATTTTTCAAGGTATCCATTTCACAAATTTTTACAGGTTTTTCACCAAGAATAGATTCTATAATCTTTTAAACTATTGCTTTGACATCAAAATTATCAGAAATGCATACCCATAATTTTAGTTCAAAATACACTTTCTCATCGTTAAAGACGAGTTGAGCTAGTGTTGTCTTCCATAGACCTCTAATGCCCACTATAGAAACAATCAGCACATTTTCCGAGACCAGTGGATCTAGTTTTGTCTCCCCTTCTGACGTATTTCCATCAAAATTGGAAGACAAAAGAAACTGTATCATTTCATCTTTGTCATCTCCTCTGCCAATGACTATTTCAGGTAAAGAGGAGTGAATCTGGTCTGTTCCATCATGAATGTTCATAAAATCTATATTTTCATGACGATTAGAATCTAAGTGAAACTTCCTATTTTCAGCAATCGCATTTAATTTCCTTCTAATTTTCTTAATCTTATAAGCCATTTTAACACTATAAGGAAATTTGCGTACCTCCTCTGTGGAGAAGTCATCCAATAAATCATCCGCATCGTAAAATGCTTGTTTGAGTGAATCAACCCAAACTCTAACTTGATGACTCTGAGAGTACTGCTCCTCTGCATCAATAAGCACACCTTGGACTGTTAAAACTGTCTCCTCGAGTTTGTTGAACTCTTCTTTAGTACGCCACCACAGCTTAGCCTCTTTAATGGCTGGCAAAACCAGCTTTGAAGCTACCTTTGTTACAAGGTTGGACAGGAATGCTTCTGCCATTGACGCCACCACAGCTTAGCCTCTTTAATGGCTGGCAAAACCAGCTTTGAAGCTACCTTTGTTACAAGGTTGGACAGGAATGCTTCTGCCATTGCTTCTAACAGTAGAGTGGAAAGCAATTGGAAAGTTAGAAGGCACAATTTTGAGAGTGTGAAGGTTGGATATGTAATGGCATTATTTATAACAAAAAAAATGAATAATTAATGAAAAGTCACAATTTATTCTTTTTGCATTTGCTGAATGGAGAATATAGCAAAAGGGAAAAACGTAGACGAAGAAGAGAAGAGCATATGATATTTTATTCCTTTTTTTGCTTTGAGAATCAAATTCCAACAGTGGCTAATGATCATAGATAGCAAAGTGAGGTATTCATGACCTTTAAACTGGGTAATATATAGTAAGCTTATGCAAGAAGATAATCAATTCAGTGGCGGTGGATGGATCAATATCAATTATGAGAAATCCACCGATCTACATGTGTAGTCTACGATGCACGAAGATTTAAGTAAAAAAAAAGGTTCTGGTACCGTGTTAGATTCGATTATTTTTTTTATTTGATTAATTTCGGATATTTCGATGACATTTTAAGAATTCTTCAATCACTTCTTGCACACTTGTAAAAGTTTATAAAATTTTTAAATAAATTTATTAGCAAAAATTTTAAATTGTAGTCAAAAATATAATTAGATAAATATTATATACTTAAAATAAAAAATTATAACATATATAAGAACAAAAAAAAAAAAATCTTAAATCATTATGTAGGGTTTATAACATATATAAGAACACTTAAAGAATCAGACACAGAATAAGAATCATCTGCAAGGCTGTAACAAGCAGTTTCCATCTTTTGGGCAGACCTATGCTCCTCTTCATGAACTGAAGTTGCAGGTGACACCTCACCCATAGAAACATAAGCATTTTCACCATTAGAATGAACGAATTCATTGGATAGCGATACATGTAATGACTTTTTCTCCTCAGGAGAAACACGAGCACTTTCGTGAGTGGAATCAATGAATTCACCAGGTTTTGATGCATGGAGTGGTTCTTTCTCTTCAGGAGCAATTAACTCCAAACCCTCGGGTATATTGGACTTCTCCAATACTGTATTTTCTTCTGTGCTCAAATCAGAGATTTTATTTGTTGAAATATCATCAATTTTTCCTGGACCTGGTGTGCCCAAATCATATGTCAAACATCGTTGATGTTTCCTGGATCAGAGTCAAATGCTGTCCCCTCAAGGGAACCCATGGGAGTTGCAGTAGTTGATTGATTTACAAAGTGGTGTCCACTCAACGTATTACTGGGCTGATTCCTCACATCAAAATCACTGGGCTCTGCAAATGACTGCTTTATGGGATCCAACGTCCATGATCTGCCTCAATACCAATCATAGATTTAATATAGGTACCAACAACAGCATTTCCTATTATAGCCACTGCTTGAGCCTCACATATTACGGGATCAACTATAGGAGGAATAATATCTTGAACAACATCGCAAAACTTTTTCATGCTCGCGCCCACAGTGTGCCCCTGGTTTTCAACATATCTAACAGTATTCTGTAAAAGAAGCAGCTCTCGCACAGGGGAATTGCAAAATCAAGTTTGAGGATCTGATATATGCAGGAATGCACTTACCAAGAACATAATCTACAATTGTGATGCAAGGATGTTGATGTATATTTATGTGTATGAGTGAGTGTATTCACTCATTCATGTAAACGTGAGCAGATACTTCTCAAGAAGAACAGCTAAAACAAGTGGAAAACGCTTATATCCAGGAGATAAAAGAATGATAAAATAAAAAAATAAAAAAAAAAAGAAAAGAGAAGAATGATATCTGGCTCACAATGCTATCCACTTCCTGGCACATTGTTTCAAACCTCTGATAAATGTTCCCAACCCAGGCAATACCTTTAGATTTTAACTCCATTATAAATATGTATTACGCTCAAGAAAATTGAGCAGAACCCGCTTAGAGAACAAGATACAAATTCCAAGTTCAGGACAACAATTTTAACCTGCACAAGAACAACTTTAGGCTAAATGAAAGAAAGAAATTTTTTAATAATTTTGAAAGTGGAAGAATTTCTCTGTGCACAAGAATTTTTTTTCTTGAAAATTGAAATATTTAAAACATATAAATTCTCAGAATCTGTCTTCTAGTTAAAAATTTAAAACCACAACATAACAATCAAAATAGAGTGTGTTGGATATCAGTGCACTGATAAACTCCAAGATTGATTAATAATTTATAACACCAAATAATAATAACGGGAAAGGCAAACAAAATAATACTATCACAAAACATCAAATAAAATTATATTAATAAGAAGCAAACTTTCACAAAACTTAAGAAAAGAATTACTTACTTGCTTGTTGGGCACATATAACACAAATGAACTAGTCTATTTATACTAGTGAAAAGGTGGTGGAGATCTAAAAAATCTTAGACTAATAATTATTTTTTATTTTAGTATCTAGATCTTTCTCTAATAATATCTAAATTTTTTCTTTCTAATTAATTTTACCACAAATGATATAGATTTTTATTTTGGAAGATTCTAGGCACCAATTATTAAATCCTAGCAAACTAGTTATCTAGAAAATTCTAGCTTATGACAAAGAAGTAGGTGATGAATTTTCTAAATTAATCGGTGATATCAATAGATAGTTGGTTTAATTTGCATTCTCTTCAGTCACTTTATGCAGTTGGCCTCATCAGTACCACATGCATGCATACATACATACATGAAAATCAAAATCATCAATCCATACGAGATGACTCAAAACTCTTCTTTTTTTTTTTCTTGAAAATAAAATTTCCCTCTTTATGCATCCATTATACTGTATAACATAAAAGAACACAAAAGGCAATCACATAATAAAGCTTAACATAAAAGAGGGCAGTAGGAATATATAAAAAAAATACAGTCTTCCAACAAAAGGTAGAGAATGAAACTCAACTGATAAACCATACAATTAGCATCTATAACCCAACACATTAAGAGGAAGATTACTGGGAAAGATAAGAGTAAATTACCGGAAATTACGGGTGGGCAGTGATGATCATCGCTGGAAAGCTTGGCATAGCTAACTCAAACAGCGGGGTTTTGATAGAGAGGAAGAGACGGAGGAGGTTTTGGAACGAAGAGGATTTAAAAATAGGGTATTATGGCTGTTTCTGGCTTGTAATTTCCTAATCATTACTGGGTGTTATCGATGTTTTGTTCCTAAAACTATTAGGCGTTTCACGAACGGTTCGTCGTTCATTATCTCAGTTCATAATAATTCTCCCTCGAATTATGTCACCTTTTTTCTCACGTGTCGTTCAGACCTGAGTTTGGAGTTCATGACTACCCTACCCTACCGGTTTAGAAGTGTTGACTACCCTACCCTACCGGTTTAGCAGTGTTTTTTTTTTTTTTTTTTTTTTTTTTTTTTTTTTTTTTTTTTTTTTTTTTTTTTTTTGACGAATCAAACCCTTTAATTTGCAGAAGTTATCTCTAAATTTAACCATGTTTTGCCTGTCAAGCTGATCGATATGGTTCGAATTATCACTTTGACCTATGGATAAGTAAGTTTCGATTTTAACTGAATATTCAAACTGAACCGATGCTATTTAGTTTGATTGAGTTTGACTTATCAATAAAATTAATTCGATTTGATTAATTACAAATGTAAGTTTTAATTTTTAATTTTGACTCGGTATTCTATAAATTGAATAGACCAAATAACCATAAAATTAGAGGTTAATCAATTCAAATTAGAAAATCGAACTTCTCAATCAATTTGATTTGATTTTTCTAACTAAATTATTTTCTTTTAAAAAATAAAAATTGACTTGATTGTTTCGCTTTGGTTCTATTTTTATGAAGAAAATTAAATTTATTTTATTTTTATTTATTTACTCAATTTGATTAATTCGAATTCTATATTTAAATAAATTGGGGCGATTCAATTGAATTGAATGCTCGTCCATTACCTTCATCATGTCCTTGCAAACAATGTTGAGTCCATAAAATTTTTTTCTTAGGGTTAGCAAATGAATGGATCCCTTATTCACTAAGCTAGATGCTGTATACCTGCAAAAGAAAGTAACACCAGGAATATTATCACTTAAATTTGCTTAATTAAGATTCCATTTGTGTTTGAAAAATAATTTATTTTGAAACATATTATTTGATTGACTGGTAGACAAGATTTGGAGAACAATAAGATTGATTTATTATTATTATTATTATTATGAAGGAACCACAAGTCTTTAAGTTGGTGCTGTTACCGCATAAGTTTTTGTTGTTTCTTACTGCTTCAAATGGAGCCACAAGAAAGGCTTTAGTGTGTTTCCAACAAAATTAGTTAGTCCTGTAATTGTTAGTTATTTGAGTAGCTTTTCATAAAACGCTAAAACATTAAATGTCACATGAGTTAACTTTTTATAGAACACTAGTTTAATATCTAAAAGCTAATTCAAATGCTGTGTTATCGAACACTAAAAAATAACGTTTAGCGTTTTTACCGGTTAAAAACAGAGTTGAGCGTTTAAACTAAATATATTATTGTTAAAGTTGACAAATATATAGGGATATATTCCAAAATCTTAGATATATTTCCTATGAGTTGGTTTCTCTCAAGATAGAGTCTTAACTGTACAAACAATAAAGGAGAAAAGAAATGATTGTATATTTTTTCATATCAAAATGATACAAGCAGTAAGGTATTTAAAGCAAATACAACAGATAAGAATTCTTATAACTAAGGGAAACACAATTTGAATAAATCATAATAATACAAAAATCACGGTAACAAATCACTTTGAAGAGGTCCTCCATTATCATAATCTTTGACCAAGACTTATAGCTTAACAGCCCCCCATAATCTTTGACCAAGACTTATAGCTTAACAGCCCCCCTCAAGCTGAAGACGGCGAAGGCATAAGTCGAAGCTTGTCTCGATGTCGTAAAAACAGATGCGACCCCAAAGACTTGGTCATAATATCGACAATTCGATCTTGGCCAGAAATAAATTTGATTTGAATCCAGTTACGCTAGACTTGATCTCTTACAAAATGGAAGTCAAGCTCAATATGTTTTGTAAGAACATGGAAGACAGGATTAGATGACAAGTAAATAGCTCCAATGTTGTCACACCATAGTGTTGCAGGTGAAACATTAAAACCGAGTTCAGACAGTAATGATAATAGCCACATAATCTCAGAGGTAGCATGAGCAATAGATCGATACTCACTTTCTGTTGAGGAGCGAGAAACAGTTGATTATTTCTTAGAAGACTAGGAAATTAAATTGGTGCCGAGATAAATAGCATAACCAGAGGTTGATTTTCGGTCATCAGGGCAACCAGCCCAGTCACTATCTGAAAAGCATTGTAGGGAAATTGGAGAAGTATTGGAGAAAAACAAACCCATAGAGGCAGTCCCATGTAAGTAACGCAATAAGTGTTTGGCAGCAGTCCAATGAACCTGCGTGGGTTGATGCATAAACTCTGCAAGTTTATTAACTATAAAAGATACACCAGGCCGTGTGAGAGTAATATACTGCAGAGAACCAATTAACTGCCGATATTGTTCCCCATCAATCAAGAGTTCACCATCATGTTTAGATAAGGAGACATTAGTAGCCATAGGAGTAATGGTAGGCTCATTATCAGACATGCAAAATTGATGCAGTAGATCACGGATATATTTATGTTGAGATAAAATAATACCCTATCAGACATGCAAAATTGATGCAGTAGATCACGGATATATTTATGTTGAGATAAAATAATACCCATTGGTGTTGAAAACACCTCAATACCCAAGAAATAGTGAAGCCGACCAAGGTCTTTGACAGGAAATACCGACTTTAAAGCTTGAAGAAAATAGCTGAGCTTGGTAGAATCAGAGCAAGTCAGCAATATATCATCAACATAAATTAAAATAAAACATTGAATATTGCCTTCTTTGTAAATAAATAAAGAAGTGTCAGGTTTAGAAGCATGAAAACCATGCTTCAATAAAAAAGTACTCAACCGTTGAAACCAAGCTCGAGGGGCCTGCCATAATCCATACAATGATTTTTGTAATTTGCAAACATAATCCGGATGATCCGAATTAATAAACCATGACGGTTGAGCCATGTATATATCTTCATCAAGATATCCATGCAAGAACACATTAGATATGTCCAATTGCCGTATCTGCCATTTAAAAGCAATAGCAAGAGACAAAACAGTGCGAATTGTGGTGGCTTTGACTACCGGACTGAAAGTCTCATTGTAATCAATCCCAGGTTGCTGAGAGAACCCTTTGGCAACCAAACGTGCCTTGTAGCGCTCAATATCCCCATTAGCCTTTCGTTTGATACAAAAAAGCCATTTGTTGCCCATAATATTTATATGAGGAGGACGTGGAACCAATTTCCATGTATGATTTTATAGAAGAGCATTTATTTCACTTTCCATGGCTTGTCGCCATTGGAGATACTGTTGAGCTTGATTATAAGTCCTAGGTTCATGAGATAAATAATCAAGTGTAGCTGTAGAGATGAAAGCTTGGCGTTTTTATCGGATGGATGGGCGAAGTCGCATTGGGTGAGTGCGAGGTGGATTTTGTTGTGGAAAGTGAGACGAGATGTCAACAACAAGATCAATGGCAGGTTGGTTTTGCGCATTATAAGGGATGATTTGATTTTGTGGAGAAACAGGTTACGTGGAATGGGAAGTCTGGTTATCATGATTGGCTAATATAGGCGAAAGAGTGTGAGATGGTAATGTATTTGTTGAAGAATGGGACTCTGCAGAAGAGACCGCATTAGATAAGGTCATACCTGAATTATCTTGAGGTTCCAAGTGAGATGGTATTTGATTGCTTAACGTAAGCCAAGGCATGATAGGTGGTGGAGAACTTTTAGGAACAGATAATTGAGACCTAATAAATCTAGACGGATCAAACTTTACATGACGAGCTAGGTAGACCCGATTGGTTGTAGGATCAAGACAGCGGTGAGCACAATGCGAAGGACTGGTTCCTAAATAAATGCAAGGAATTGATCAAAAGGAAAATTTATGACGTGAATATGGCCTAAGAAACGGAAAAATTGTGCAACCAAAAGGATTTTGTACAAGATAATTAGGAGAAGACTTATACAAGCATGAAAATAGACTTTTATTTTGTAGAATGGGTGATGGCAGAATATTTATAGAATTGACACTATGTTCAGTTGCATAATTCCAGTATCGTAAGGGTAGGTTAGCATGAGAAAGTAATGTAAGTGTGGTGTCAATGACATGGCGAATTTTTCTTTCGGCAGTACCATTTTGTTCATGGGTGTATGGACATACTATCCTATGAATTATACCATGTTGCTGAAAATATTTATGTAACCGTTGATACTCACCACCCTAATCCGAATGGAATGCTAATATTTTTTACTGAAATTGTCGTTCAACAAGAGATTGAAATTGAAGAAACACATTATAGACTTCACTTTTATTTTTCAATAAATAAAGCCATGTAAACCTTGTGAAGTCATCAATAAATAACACAATATATTTATTACCGAAACTAGACATAATAGGGGCAGGGCCCCAAACATCAAAATGAATAATTTGAAAAGGATTCGTACTTTTGTGTTCAACAAAAGCTAACGAAAGCCTAGACAATTTTCCTAAATTGCAAGCAGAACAAGGATTAAACTGAAAACTAGAGCAAGGTAACTTAAAGTCTTTTATTATTTTTCGACACTGTTCGATGATGAGGATGACCCAAGGCAGAATGCCAATCAGAAAATGAGGGAATGGTGGCTGTCATGGCAGTTTTGAGAGGTGACTTTAGAGTGTAGATACCATCTTCACTTGGTCCCTGCAGAAGAGTCTTCCTGGTGACCTGATCTTTTACAATAAAACAATGAGGCCAAAACTCAAAATAACAATTATTGTCAGTAGAAAATTTTTGCACAGATAAAAGATTCTTGACAATTTTGGGAACACAAAGAGTATTTTTTAAAAGAAGTGGACCATTAGCAGATGGAATTGTAACCGTACCAGTGTAAGAAATTGGTAAACCCACACCGTTTCCAACATGAAGCGGATCATTTCCATGATATTCAGTGGCAGGGCTTAAAGACTGAATATCAAGTGTGACATGAAAATTAGCTGCTGTGTCAGGATGCCAATGATTCATGGATGATGAAGTAGTGGAGTAATTTGCCAATGGGGTTGAAGGAGGGTAGCAATTCATTGGTGAAGGTGGTGGATCATAAGGTGAAGGTGCTGGATAATAATGGGAATAATTTGCCATGGGTGGTGGGTAGCTGGGCTGATTTTGAGTTGGTCGAGAAGTTTGATTCGATCGTTGGTAACGATGACGGCATTTGTCGACAGTATGATTTCGATACCCACATATTTGACAAGGACCCTTGGGTTTCTTTTGCCCATTTGAATTGACAGTTGGTGTTGGAAGCAAGGGAGGAGAAGAATTATTTGGGATTTGGCGAGAAGCCATATTAGCTTGAGGTGGTTCATGGCAACTCTTTAGAAGAATTTCATGAGCAATAAGTTGTCCATGAAGCTCATGAAACGACACAGGTTCAGGTCGCAGATTTAAGGCAGTGTCGCCAGTCGCTGAAGAAGACCTCTCTGGGCTAACAAACCCACACACCGTTAGTCGCATACATGAATGCGTGGGATTCATTTCCACCTGATTTCATGATGTAGCGGAGCGTATATATGACTGATAATTAATCATATGTTTTATCAGATTGTTTGGTGTACTCGCTATACGTGTGTGGATGACAGAATTGCGTCTAGTGCTGCATATAGAATTCTCATTCGAGTAATGATGCGCTTGTTGGAGGAATACCTTACTCAGTGAACATTTGCTCGCAATTGTTGATCGATTGAAGTGCTTGTATGAAAAGTAGTGTAGCCAAATCTACTCAGGTGAATTTCTGGTGTTGTGGCTTTATCAGTGGTAAGGGAATAGCTCGGGGTAAAGTATGCGGATGAGACCTTCTTAGCCAATAGATGGAGGCTTTGGACATGCGTGTCAAAGCTGAGGCTGATTTTGAGATTATGTGCCTTCTCGGGTTTGATTTCGATTTCAGCTTTTTCTTTACCAGGCCTACACCGATTGACCTCCGCGCCCTTTAGTCTGATCTCGCAAGTATGATTCCCAACATTGCCGATTATCCACTCATGATGTGGACTAAGGGACCCTTGGTTATCTTCTTGCACCATTTGATTGACAAGTTGGTGTTGGCACTAGTCACATGGGAGGAGCCATAATGACAGAAAGGAATTCCTAATTTCGAGCGCATTTTTGGCTAAGAATTCCATATCTAGATGACGTGATTGCGTGGATTCATGGCATCAATGGCTACATTAGAATGGAACTGTTTCATGAAGTCAGGAATTCATGTCTTGTCATATACGCCCAACGCTCTCACGTGGAAACGAACAATCTAGAAGTATCCCACGATACGTGCAGGACATTTGAAGGTCCTAGTAGATTACTTTCTGTGATATTCGAGTACGCCTAATATTCTCTCGAAATATGGGCTGTTAACCAGCGTGGAGTAAAGGACAAATTCTACCTAGACAGCATGTAATTTTCATCTGTATTGTAGTGGCGTTGGCATACGTTGCACACGCATCATATTACGGTGATGGATGAGTCAAGTTATTTTTCTTAAATACTCTTTTGGTGAGTGCTCTTCAATGTGTATATGAGAGCTGTAACGAGTTGTTAAGAGAATAGAGCCGCTCGGATACGCTCTGTCGCCTGAAGGCTTAGGCCCCCGACACGGCGTTGGAAGATAGTGTGGTTAACAAGCTCCTCCTTACTAGCTCCAACCGTTTTCCCCTCTTCCACTCTCTCTCTCTCTCGCTGAAACTACTCTTCATACAAGTAAGTCAGTGTCCAAGATATGGAGTAGACAAGTCAACCTCCATGACCCTCGCCTAACACTTGGCGGCTTTCGCTCTAGAACCCAAGTTACCTTATGTGCATTAAATAATCAAGATCTGTATTAGTCGTTTTAATTGTTTGAGGGGGGAGTGAGAAGAGGTGTTGGAAGCAAGGGAGGAGAAGAATTATTTGGGATTTGGCGAGAAGCCATATTAGCTTGAGGTGGTTCATGGCAACTCTTTAGAAGAATTTCATGAGCAATAAGTTGTCCATGAAGCTCATGAAACGACACAGGTTCAGGTCGCAGATTTAAGGCAGTAATTATTTTGTGATATTCGGCGCCAATATTTCAATGGCGTTAAATTCAGCTGTAGAAAGGGGTCTACCAACAGCATGTAATTCATCTTTGAGTGCGTTGGCACGTTGAAGATAATTGGTGATGGAGAGATCATTTTTCTTAAACTCTTGGAGTTCAATGTGAATTTGCAGCTGACGATTTTGAGAAATAGAGCCGAAAGCCTGTGCTAAGGCTTGCCACACGGCTTGGGAAGAATTTAACCCAATAATATAAGAGAAAACATCTTCAGTAAGGGAGGAATGAAGCCATGACTGTAAAATTTGGTCTTGTTTGAACCAAGTTACATATTCAGGATTAGGAATATCAAGATCTGTATTAGTCGGGGATTTAATTGTTTGAGGGGGGTGGAGAAGAACCATCAATAAGATGATTCATATTATGATAGTTGGGAAGTGGCTGAAATTGAGTTTTCTAGGCCAGATAGTTGTTGTGTTTGAGTTTACCAGAAAAGGAATGTTGGGCAATGGTTGGGTGGGAAGAAATTAAACTTGGATTTTGATTTGCGGTGTCAGCCATTGTGGCTCTGATACCATGTACAAACAATAAAGGAGAAAAAGAAATGATTGTATATTTTTTCATATCAAAATGATACATGCAGTAAGGTATTTAAAGCAAATATAACAGATAAGAATTCTTATAACTAAGGGAAACACAATCTGAATAAAACATAATAATACAAAAATCACGGTAACAAATCACTTTGAAGAGGTCCTCCATTATCATAATCTTTGACCAAGGCTTATAGCTTAAAATTAACAAGCTGTTGCAATTTTGAAGGCCATTTGGGATGCGACCTCTAAAATCATTTCCATATGCCATATGGTAGGTGACGTCCCAATCTATTGTAATATATTTGTAAACTTGATAGTTTTGTCAAGTTTCCAGTTACAAGGAGTAGCATTGATTAGAGACCAAGAAGACAAGATAAATTGACTCTAAATAAGCTGTAAAAGAGCCGAGTCGAACTTTAATGAGTTGGAGCTCGACTCAATAGGAATATACTCAAGCTCGAGTTTGGCTTGAGTTCGTTTCAAGCTCGAAAATCTAAGCTCAAGCTCGGCTCGTTTAAAAATAGCCAAGCTCGAACTCGATTCGGGCTCGGCTCGATAAGCATAAATGAGTAAAGCTCGAGCTTGAAATATATTAATCAAAATGACGTCGTTTTAATGTAAGTTTTAATTGATTTTGGCTCACGAGTTAACTTGAGAGCTCGGCTCGATAAAGTTAGCTCGTGAGCTAATGATCCAAGTTTGAACTTAGCTCGATAATCTTATCGAACGAGCTCAAGTGAGCTTTTACTGAGCCGAATCTCAAATAGTTCATAAGCGGTTTGTTTCGTTTACAGGCCTAGCTTTTTGTTTCAAGACTAGCTTTCCACTTTTAGAAGGGCATTTGCTTGAGTTTGAATAGCAGCAGCAGAAGCAAAAGCAAGGACATGGAAAGATAATATAATTAATAACATAGTAGTAAGTGAGAAGAACAAAATAATTAATAACATAGTAGTAAGTGAGAAGAACAAAATAAGGAAATGAAAGCAAATTTTCAAAAGAAAACAATATAAATAAAAATATATATTTTTCTCAAAAATAGCTATAAAAAGTAAGAAATAAAAAAGGTTGCCATGGTGATGAAATAATTAGTTAGAAATTGCAATGCTTAAGAACTATTCATTTATTTATTTTAGTTTTAAATAAAACAATGATGTCATTGTTTGGCTTTTCCATAATTTTATAATGTATCAAAAAGTTCTATAAAGTTTTAAAGTTAAAATAAAACTACTTGCTTTCAAATTATTAATTTAACTAGATAAAGACCTGTGCAACTAGTTACTCATTATTAGTATATTTTACAGTTTGTATAATTAAAATGTATAAATTATAATTAATACATACTCCCTTCGTCCATTTTATTTGCTTGCATTTCTTTTTTGAATATTCAAAATGTTTGCAAGATTTCTAAATTTAGAAATGTAAATAATTACTCGTTCCGTAATACCCTTTATGACTGTTGATTAAATGAATGACTTTTATTAATATATTAATTAGTTAAGATATTAATAAGCTTACATCAAGCATTTATTCAAACAATTTAAGTGTAATAAGCTTACATCATAAATGAATATACAACCTTGAGCTTCTTTTAAAAAATATAAAACATGAGCTACAAAATTCTTTATTCATATATAAATTAAGATCATAGATGAATTTTAAATAAGATGTACACATGAACAATAATAAAGGATTAGCCAGTTTGGCCATCTTGAAGCAAAAGCTCTCCTAATTTGGATTTCAGAAAATGGCTTTGTTAATGGATGCCATTTAGCAACTAGTTTTGAAGAAACTTGTTCCATGGTTGGCCGAGATTGAGGATTCATGAGATTGAGGATTCATACTCAAACATGCAAATGCAAGTTTGGAAACATAAATCAAGCCTTCAGCATCTCTTTTTTGAGGAATTTGTAGGCATTGGTCAGTCACATCTTTCCATAGGGTTTGCTGGTTCGTTGCTGCTGAAGATGACGAAAGAGATGAAATGAAATCTCCTGGATGTGTTCCCATTATTATCTCCAGTGCTACCACACCAAAGCTATAAACATCACATTTTCATTGACTACCATTGTGTAAGCTAGCTCTGGAAAAATTTCCAATACACCCATTAGTTTACAATAATGATAATGGTGCAAAATATGTCAAATACATATATTTTAGACTAATTAAGAAGTCAAGGAGTTTACCTGGAGCTGTGTATCCAAATGTTCCGGCAAATGCAGTCCAATTTGATGTATCGGGCATCAAGAGCCTTGCTGTACCGAAATCAGAGACATGAGCTTCTAATTCTGAATCTAGTAGGACATTGTTGCTGGAAAGGTCTCGATGAATATGAATCATTGGAGGGGAGCAATCATGTGCATATAAGACAAATGCATGGCTATTCCTCTTAACAAACATTTAGCCCTTTTACTCCAATTTAACTCCCTTTTGCTTGTTCTTTATCCACATAATTCTTTTCTCAACTTTCCTCTTTCTATGAAGTTATAAATCAAAATGAGTGTTTAGATTGAGAACAAAAATCCATATAACAAAATCCATATAACTTCACAATGTTCCGATGGCGAATGTTTGTCAGTGCAACAATCTCATTTTCAAATGCTTTCACATTCAACATCTCATCATTCTGTGACAGGTTATGAAGTTTCTTCACAGCAACCACTCTACTCGTTGGCAACACCGCTTTATAGACAACTCCATACCCTCCCACTCCAATACAATACTTAGAATCAAAACCTTCTGTAGCCTCGATAATGTTTTCATGTTGTAGATCTTTATTTGGGCTCCATATTGCATGAACACCTTCCTCACTACTTAATTTGGCTTTTCTCCTTATACTTCTTCGACGGAAAATGAAAAAACATCCTATGAAGAGAAAGAACAGAAACAAACTGGCGGACAAGATTGGAAGAACAATATGTTTGATTACTTTTATGTCTTTTTTTCCTATGGTTTTTTTTATTATGAAGGAATCACAAGTCTTTAAGTTGGTGTTATTACCGCACAAGTCTTTGTTGTTTCTCAGTGCTTCAAATGGAGCCTCATGGAAAGCTTTAATATTAGGAATCTGGCCCTTTAACTTGTTATAGGATATATCCACCAATGTTAAGCTTATCAAGTAACCAAGAGTAGTTGGAATAGAACTTGACAATAAATTGTGGGAGAGATTCAACATCTCTAGTTTTTGCAACTGTCCAAGCTGCTCTGGTATCTCTTTTTTGAACAAATTATAACTTAGATCAAGGCTTTCTAGAGAGCGTAAATTCCCAATCTCTGAGGGGATATTACTTGAAAATTCATTTTTACTGAGGTTCAAGACGAGTAATTTTGAGCATTCACCGAGCTGTTTGGGAATAGATCCACCAAGATTATTTGCAGCCAAATTAAAGATTATTTGCAGCCAAATTAAGATTAGAAAGATCACGTAACATACCAATTTCTTTAGGAATGCCACCTGAAATCTTATTGTTGCCAAGATAAAGGTAAAGTAATTGTAACTTTCCCAATTTTTTCGGTATATTCCCCACAAGATGATTAGATGAGAGGTCAAGCGATTGCAATTGAGGTGCCTTGCTGAGTTCAGATGGAATTGTACCTGATATATTATTCTTGGAGATTTTCAAAGTTGACAAACTGTGAAAATCTTCCCATTTCCATGAAAGCTCACCATAGAATTTGTTATCACTTAAATCCAAATAGTTTAAGTGTGGATATATCCCAAAATCTTGAGATATATTTCCTGTGAGTTGGTTTCTGACGGAGTCTTATCAAGCTGCTACAATTTTTAAGGCTTCGTGGTATGGGACCCGTAAAATTGTTTCCCCTTGCACAGAAATATTGAAGTTGTCCACCAAGGCATATGTCATTTGGTAGGTGACCACCCAATCTATTTTCATGTATTTCTAATGTTTCTAAGAGAGTAAGGTTGTTAATCTCTAAAGGGACAGTACCAGAAAATTGATTCACTCCAAGAACTAAATTTAATAGCATTGTCAAGTTTCCTATGGAAGCTAGGATTGCACCGGTGAGTTGATTGTCTGACAAATCTAAATTAGTAATGGAGCTCAACATTCTAACTTCCCAAGGTATGGAACCAGAAAGTCGATTGGCAAAAACATAAAAAGTTGATACCTTCGTCAAGTTTCCTATGGAAGCTGGGATTGCACCGGTGAGTTGATTGTCTGACAATTCCAAATCAGTAACGGACCTTAACTTTCCAACTTCCCAAGGTATAGAACTAGAAAGTCGATTGGTATAAAGATAAAGGTTTGATACCTTCGTCAAGTTCCCTATAGAAGCTGGGATTGCACCGGTGAGTTGATTGTCTGACAATGCCAAATCAGTAACGCACCTCAACTTTCCAACTTCCCAAGGTATGGAACCAGAAAGTCGATTCCAACGTTCGCCAAGGTAGAGTAACAGGGAAAGGTGGCGATGTTGCAAAAACATAAAAAGTTGATAATCTCGGCAATTCCTAGTGAAGCTGGATGCATATTCCGGTGTAAAGTTTTGATTGTCGACATATCCTAAATTCATAACCTTGATCCCTCACTTCCAACTCTCCAATGTAGGAACCCAGAATATGGCATGGTAAATATAACTTATAAAGATAAAGTTTTGATACCTTCGTCAAGTTCCCTATAGAAGCTGGGATTGCACCGGTGAGTTGATTGTCTGACAATGCCAAATCAGTAAGGCACCTCAACATTCCAATTTCCCAAGGTATGGAACCAGAAAGTCGATTGGCATGAAGATAAAGAGTTGATACCTTCGTCAAATTTCCTATGGAAGTTGGGATTAAACTAGAGAAATTATTGTATGACAATGAAAGGATACTGAGAAATGTCAAAGTTCCAAGTTGATGAGGTATGGGACCAGAAAATTGATTCTCATGAAGTTCAAGAATTGATAACTTTGTTAAGTTTCCTATTGAAGTTGGGATTGAACCAGATAGAAGGTTGCTTGACAAGTCAAAGTATGTGACAGAGCTTAATACTCCAACACCTTGAGGAATGGTACCGGAGATTAAATTAATAGACAAGTCAACAAACACAATGATTGGGAAAGATACCAAATATGGGAAGGAGTTCCCATGAAATATTGTTGCGAACATTAAGCAAATAGTTTGGGAAACAAAAAAAAACAAGATTTGAAGTGTGCCTCTAAATGAGAAAACCACCAAGTCCTATTGCAGAGATACTTTTACCTAGGACATGAAATAACCAAAAACCAATGCAAGGATAGGCACGTGCAGACCAGCCAGATAAGACAGATTGGCTCTGAATTTATCAAAGGCCCTAGCTTCCATTTAGAAGAGCATTTTGCTGAGTTGAATTGCATAGTAAGTAAGGACATGAAAGAATAATATAATTACAAACATAGTATTAAGGGAGAAGAAGGAGAGAGATTTGTGTAAGGAGGATGGCATAATCAATAGGTAGTTGCTTATAAATAATGAGGGATTAGAGAAATGTTGCTGAAGAATTTAAGATGCAGATGAAGAGATATTTATAGGGAAAAATTTACCTAGACCGAGGCCATGGCACCACGCACAGACCAAATCAATCAAACAAAGGATTTTTAAACACAGTTCGACTTTATCTTTTTTTTTTTTTCTTAAATGTATGGTCAGAAATACTCTACTATTACATGTTTGTGGAAATTTAGGGACAAAAAAGAACATGGAGGTGGCAATAAATAGGTAAGTTTAAAGACAAAAAGATGTAGCCAATTGACATGTATGTGTTTTCAGAAATTTATTCCAAAACACATAGGTAACAACAAACAAATGAGTTTAAAGACAAACAAATGTAACCAAATGTAGCAAATTAATTCCACTTTTGAGTTTACTTTGTTGTTGACCCAAAACAAATGCCCTAGACAAGACAATATTCTCTTTTTTTTTCTATTTTCTTTATCAATAAATTAACACCTCGCAATCCCTTAATATGCCAGGATAAGGAGAGGATAAGGAGATGAATACGAAAGGAAATCTCAAGGAAATTTCAAAAGAAAACGACATAACTAAATAATAAATTAATTTATTTGAAAATCCGTAAGAGACTTTTTATTAAATAATGAATAAAGATGATTTCAATTGTCTATTCAAAATTCGGGTAAACCATTAAATACCTTCAAACCTTGCGTCTTGTAATAATGTCACCCTCTTCAAACCTTGCGTCTTGTAATAATGTCACCCTAAATCCAACTTAAACCCCTCAAGCACTCCAACTAAAATTTTTTATCACATGAAAAAAACAAAATGAAAGCGAAATCGTAGAACAAAAATCAATTTTCTGATGAAGAACAAAAATGAGAATAAAACTAAAATTGTAGAATAGATATTAATTTCCCGGTGATGAATAGAAATGAAAATGAAAATAAAGCCGTAGAACAAAAATTAATGTTTCAGGACTCTCATGCCAGTCGTGCCTGTGATGATGACTCTCACGCGGGTCTTGCTGCCAGAGGCAGTTCATGCCTGCCATTAAAACAAGTAGTAAAAGAAGAAACATTAGTTTCAAAGTGACAAACAATAGCATCCAAACAGAAAATAAAAACCTCGTTCCGTGAAAAGGTAAATAAGTAAATCACTAACAAAACAGATATTGCTTTAATAATTTTAGGTCACAATGAGATTTTTAAACTGAATTTTAAAAATCTGATACATACTACAATATCCTTATAAGAAATAACTAAAAAAGGTATTACCTTCCCCGAAATGTAGGAACCATTTTAAAAAAAAGTTTAATATATAAATTTACTATTTTATTTTTTTATAAAAAATCTTGTGATACCTCTAATTTCACTGTGACTGAGTGAATACCATAATTTATAAAATTGTACCCATTAAAATAGTCCAACTTGTGAAATTAAATCATAATTAAAAAATAAGAAAATAAGTAATCTAAAAGTTGTACTAAATATATGTAGGACCCTTTTGGTCTCTTAAAGGACAACAATAATTCGATTATTACTACTCTAATTTCTCTATAAAATTTCCATAAAATTTTACGACTCTACTTATAAACCGAATCAATGAAACTAAGGATTTTTAAACAATGTTCCTGTTGAAGGTTATGACATTCTTATGGATGTTCCTGTTGAAGGTTATGACATTCTTATGGTCACATTATGAAAACATTTTGTTTATTACTATTGTATTATGTTGCAGCCTTTTTAGTTTTAAAAGTATGGCTTAGATAGGTTAACTATGAGATAAGTTATGAAATAAGGGTAAAAGTATGGGCAAGTGTGAGATGGACAGTAAACTATATTTGTGGGACTTTAGTCTTTCTGTATTTCAAGTGTGAAACTTGATCAATGAATCATGCCCACTGTGAAAACTATTTCATAATGTTTTTCACAATCATTATCCTTTGAAGCCTAAAATCTGCAGAATTTGTTTTGTAAAAGTTCTACAGATAATGTTATTTCTCAATCACTTCTTTGCCCAAAACTCCATCAGTTTTGATTTTAGCCTTTCTTTTTTTTTTGAGCCTTTCTTTTTTTGCAATTGTATGTGTCCCGCAAATACAACAACTAAAACTATTGACCCAAATACACAACTAACTATTACGTGTTTTGTGGAAATTTAGGGACAAAACATAACATTGAGGTGACAACAAATCAATTTACATTTAATTATGTGTTTTCAGAAATTTATTACAAAAGATATAGGTAACATCAAACACGTGAGTTTAAATACAAACACATGTAACCAAATGTAGCAAATTAATTCCACTTTTGAGTTTACTTTGTTGTTGACCCAAACAAATGCTCTAGACAAGACAGTATTCTCTTCTTTTTTCTTTTTTCTTTTTTTTATCAATAAATTAACACCTCGCAATCCCTTAATATGCCAGGATAAGGAGATGAATACGAAAGGAAATCTCTAGGAAATTTCAAAAGAAAATGACATGACTAAAAAATATATTATTTTTTTCCAAAATAATGCGTGGTGCCATGATGATTAAATAACTAATTAGACATTCCAATGCTTAAGAACTACTTAGTTTTAAATGAAATAATGTTGTCATGTTTTGGTTTTTTCATAATTTTATAATTTATCTTTTTCCATAATTTTATAATTTATCAAGAAGTTTAAATAAAGTTTTTTAAGTTTCAACATATAATTCAGTTTGAAGTTTTATAAAGTTTTTAAGTTTCAAATATAATTATTTGCTTTTTAAATTACTAACTTGATAGTGTATTTTTAAGATTAGACTTGCCAAGACGAGATCTATAATTATGAACATTTTAAAAATTGTTTCCATTTTATTCTTTTTTCAATGTATGACTAGAAATACCTTCAATTCAATAAAAAAAATAATTTTTCATTGGTTCGGTTCATAGTGAGTCTATAAACCAAGTAAAACAAGTCAACCCATTTTTATGACCTTAAAATGACAAAAAATAAATTAATTTATTTGAAAATCCGTGAGAGACTTTTTATTAAATAATGAATAAAGATGATTTCAATTGTCTATTCAAAATTTGGGTAAACCATTAAATACCTTCAAATCTTGTGTCTTGTAATAATGTCACCCTCAATCCAACTTAAACCCCTCAAGCACTCCAACTAAAATTTTTTATCACAATTATACCCCAATTCGAAATTGGTCAAAATTAATGAATATTATACATTAAATATGGGTCCTACAACTTACACTTGAATTAACTTAACCCAAAGAATGAGTTGGCTAAATTACACTATAAAATACCCCAAACTTTGGCGATTGTAACAATTTCACCCCAAAATGACATTAATCACTCAGACACTTACTTTTAACTTACCTCAGACGACTTGACTTTTAACATTTTTATCACAACTGCACGTTAATTCCAAATTATAGCAAATATAGTTGTTCTATTCAAATTATAGCAAATATATTGTTCTAATGAGGGGGTCACATTCAATTACAATTTCACCTTAGATTCAAATTTTATCTTATTTTAATAGAGCCCCTAAATTACTAGACAATTATCAATTGTAAAACGATGTATATCAATATAGAAATGTTGCAATTCGTGCACTAATAAAAAGTCCTTAATAAATGTCAAAAATGAAGTTTCCAACTAAACAAAACGTCAGATGTTATAAATGAAGATAACCTAATTTTTGGTAGAAAAATAAATCAATAGTTCATAACCTAACTTTAACGAATCCATGCATGTATCAAACAGAAAACGTATTGTTTAAAAATCAATGAAACTAAGGATTTTAAACAATGTTCCTGTTGAAGGTTATGACATTCTTACGGTCACATTATGAAAACATTTTGTTTATTACTATTGTATTATGTTGCAGCCTTTTTAGTTTTTGTATTATGTTGCAGCCTTTTTAGTTTTAAAAGTATGGCTTAGATAGGTTAACTATGAGATAAGTTATGAAGTAAGGGTAAAAGTATGGGCAAGTATGAGATGGACAGTAAACCATATTTGTGGGACTTTAATCTTTTTGTATTTTAAGTGTGAAACTTGATCAATGAATCATGCCCACTGTGAAAACTCCTATTTCATAATGATTTTCACAATCCTTATCCTTTGAAGCCCAAAATCTGCAGAATTTGTTACTTTCTTTAAAGCAAAATTTGTTTTGTAAAAGTTATGTAAATAATGTTATTTCTCAATCACTTCTTTGCCCAAAACTCCATCAGTTTTGATTTTAGCCTTTCTTTTTTGCAATTGTATGGTCCCAAATACACAACTAACTATTACGTGTTTTGTGGAAATTTAGGGACAAAACATAACATTGAGGTGACAACAAATAGGTGAGTTTAAAGACAAAAAGTTGACAACAAATAGGTTGATGTTTGAAAGACAAAAAAGATGTAATCAAACTTTACTTTAAAGACAAAAAGATGTAATCAAT